TAAAACAAATCTTATTATTTGTAATTGAACTACAACATTTATAATTTGTTTTAGTTGGGCATTCAAGTGTTAATTTTTTTTTTTAGGAAATCAAAATTAGATTTTTTTTTTTAGAAATATTTTATTAGTTGTTGATGGACCTTTATTTATTTACATGTGGTGCTGAGAATCGAATCCAGTGCCTCACACATGCTAGGCAAGCGCTGTACTACTGAGCCACAACCCCAGCTCCCTCAAAATTAGATTTATAATATAAATTTCTTACTGTAAAGGCAGATTAAACCTAAAAAGGCAGTCTTAAGCCTTATAAAGGTACTGTTTGGACTTGCAAGCACTAAGATTATATATTTACTTTATAATTGTACTTATTTTGAGTTAACTTTCATTTGACATTCCCAAGTCTTTATGTCTAGGGTAATTATGAGTGGTTAAATCATGAATGCCCAAATAGTTAAAGCTTAGTACTTAAATGTGGACTATCTGCCATCCATGACAGTTTATCCTACAGTGAATTTATAAAAGTGAATATTTTTCTCCAGCCTTAATTGTGTTTTCTTTTTCTCATTTCCCCCTTCCTGATCTACTTTAAGGAGTTTGCAGCCACCTCAAATCCTTTTTGGAATATTTTATAGCAAGAGTAAATAAAATAGAGTTTGCAAATTAAATAAATTCTGTGGCTTCTCAATTGGATTTGCAGGATTGTATTGAAAACACTAGTAGAACCAGATAGCTATTTTGTGTGGCCTTTAAACAAAAATCTCTTTTCATAGAAGAATATTTATTTTAATCAGCTTTAAAAGAATATGAAGCGGGCTGGAGGCTGAGGCTCAGAGGTAGAGCGCTTGCCTAGCATGTGTGAGGCCCTGGGTTCGATCCTCAGCAGCACATAAAAATAAAATAAAGATATTGTGTCTAGGGGCTGGGGATGTGGCTCAAGCAGTAGCGCGCTCGCCTGGCGTACGTGCGGCCCGGGTTCGATCCTCAGCACCACATACAAACAAAGATGTTGTGTCTGCCAAGAACTAAAAAATAAATATTAAAATTCTCTCTCTCTTTAAAAAAAAAAAAAAGATATTGTGTCTACCTATAACTTAAAAATAAATATTAAAAAAAGAATATGAAGTTATAATTAATACCATGATTCCAATTCTATACACACACACACATATATACATACACAAGTTCTAAGATAAGAAATTGCATCAACATATCAATTGTAGTTCTGGACAGTAGGATGGTGGAAAATGGGTGATTTTATCTTTTCTTTTATTTTTTATTTTTTTTTATATTCTGAATTTTCCACAGGAACAGTATTACTTTTATCATCTTTTTAAAGTACCTTTTTTTTAAAATATGTTTTTTTAGTTGTCATTGGGCCTTTTTTTTTTTTTTTTTTAATACGCAGTGCTGGGAAATGAACCCAGTGCCTCACACATATTAGGCAAGTGCTCTGTCACTGAGCTACAACCCCAGCCCTAAAGTACCTTTTTAAGAAGACTGGTTTCTATGGAAATTAATACAGGTGTTTTTCTTTGTTATTTTATACTTTGGTTGCCTTAGTCACTACTAGGCTTTTCCTGATGGCAAAGAGGAGCTAATAGTGTAAGCATCAGGTAGAATATGGGTAAACTCTGTTTAAAATATTTGTATAATGTGTGGGTAATACCCAAAGAAGAATCTCCTGGAACAGAAATTATCTTTAGACCACTTTCTGTTCTAGATGATCGTATGCACCTGATTTCCACCCCCCTCTTCATGTTCTCTTACCTCTAGTGTGAATCCACTGGTGCATGGATGTGAAGTACAAGTCTCAGTTTAGAAAGAAGTGTTCTGAGTGATATAATGAATCCCCTTTGTAAGTGGTCCTGTGTTTTCAACATATCCCTTGTTTTTTTTTTTTTTTTAAGTGTGTAAATGAGAGCTGTGACCTGGAACATTTTTATTAATCTTTATTACAGTAATAAGTTCCCCGAGGGGCAATAATTGTTTGTCTTATTGTTGATTGGTTATCCCCAAGAGGCTGAGAAATTCCTGTTTCAAAAAGTCCAGAAAGTGGGGCTGGGGTTGTGGCTCAGTGGTAGAGTGCTTGCCTATGATGCATGAGGCACTGGGTTCGATCCACATAAAAATAAAGTTATTGTGTCCACCTGAAAAACTAAACAATAAATATTAAAGTCCAGAAAGTCTTTAGTGACTTGCTGTTTCATTTTTCTTTTTCTTTTCTCTTCAGTTACAAAAAATAGGATCACACTTTACCTTTCCTTTATACACAAGCATCTATAATCTGTTAACCTAAGCCTAGTAAATGCTCTGAGAGTTAAGCCCCATGAAATGCCCTAACCAGGGCTTTGTGGAGTGATGGCTTCTCTCCCAGGCACCCACAGTGGTACTCAGTGATCAAATTATGCATATCACCTTGTGTGTTCAAGGATTTGATGAAGTGATTATTAAATCACAGATTTAGAATTATTTTATAGATAAGAAATATTTTAGTTAGAATTTAGTGGAACTCTTTAGATTAATTTATAATTTGAAAAACAGAATGGAGATGGGATAATAAAGTGGACTCTTAATTTTTTCCCAGTAAAACAATTACAGTAGAGCCAGTTGGGGATGATTTTTCACAGACAGTGGGGCTAGTCTTCTCTTAAGGACATCCTGTTCTTATGATGAAAGTTGGGTTTAATTGCCCCGAGGCTGCTGTTAATTAAATATGGTTTGTATTTTAGCAGCCTTTAAAGGAGATAACTATTTGAATATTTGACAATGCTTTTCTTGGAAAGTAGAACATAAAATACATCATTCTTGGTGCTTTAATTTTATGGAAAAAAACCCTGCAGTGGTCTCTGGTTTAAGAAATAGCATTATTGTTATACACTGGACCTCCTTTGTCCCCAACTAAAACATCCAAACTGCAGCAACAACAACAACAAAAAGTTTCCGAGTTATGGACTAAAAGTTAATCAGACAGTTTTCAACAAATTATCATTTTTTTAAGGTATGTTATTTGAAAATGCAAATGTGCATATACGACTTCAACATTCTCCTATATTTGAGCAGGTGTACTAGGATGCAGTTTTATGGTTTTAACTCGGAACTTGAAGGAGTAGTCTGTAATAGCTCTGCATTTCTAAGATACACAATGAAATATTCTATTTTTATGGATTTATAACACTGGAATATATGATGATAAACTGATAACTATTTCTTTGGGCTTTCAATTAGGAGAACCACCATTTCTTGGTTATGGTCTAGCAGCAGTGTCCTATAAAAATGGAATGTAAGTCACATATATGAAGTTAAATTTTCTAATAGCCATATTAAAAGAAGTGAAAAGGAAATGGGCTACCTAATGTGTGGTCCATGCCTATAAATGCCAGCTACTCAGGAGAATCCCTAGTTCAAGGCCAGCGTGGGTAACTTAGTGAGACCTTGCCCCCAAATAAAGAGGGCTGAGGACATGTGTTCAGTGGCCACAATGTGACCATACTGCTTGCTCTATAGAGTCTTGAGTTTCAGTACATTGGCATGTGGTAGAATCTACATAAATTTCACAGATAGATCTTTATGTAAATAAGATCCTGAGAAGCAGACTGTAGATCTTGATGCTTTTGGTCTACTAGGCAGATTTTAACTTGGTCCTCATGTGAGTACTTTAAAAGAGATCTAAACCTTTGGTTTCTTACTGATATTACTACAGCCATGGTTACAAGGCTTGGGTTTGGAGCCTGAGCTTTGACTAAGTTTTTGTTCCAGCTAGTGTTTGGTGTGCATGTCCCACTTCTTAGTCTTTGGCACTTACTTGTAGCTATTTTTAGATCTTCTTAAGACTATTTGTTCTGTATTGACATTTCTGTGACTCGAACTATTCACAGAGAGGACTGGAAGTGATTAGCTGGATTGGTTTCTCACACCTGAGCATTTTACTGGCATATTGGTGAAACTGGGAATGATTTGTATACCTGCTATTTAGCTCCCCTTCTTCCTCATCCCAGACTTAGAAACTAAAAAAAAAAAAAAAAAATCAAAATTACTTTTTATTGAGTGGGAGAATCCCAGGGCACTTGGTCATTTATCCTCTTAAATGTGTAGACTTGGAATTAGCTCTTGGTCCTTCTTTTTTTTTTTTTTTTTAATTTTATAATTGTAGATGAGAGCATGCCTTTATTTTATTCATATATTTTTTATGTGGTGCTGAGGATTGAACCCAGTTCCTCACACGTGCCAGGCAAGTGCTCTACCATTGAGCCCTAGCCCCTGCCCCTCTTGGTCCTTGTTGAACATCCACATCCTGTATTTTAGTACACTGGGTATATTTTACACTTCACCTAAAAGAAGTGTTGTGGGGAAATAAAGAAAATGACATTTGCTAAATATCTGTTGTGTGCTGTGCATGGAGCTGGGAACTTTAGAAATATTATCTCATTGGCCCTGAGGGATAGGAAATGTGATCTTCATATTATAAATGAGGAAATAGAAATCTTGTACTTAAGTGATTTTTCAACTACACATATTTCTAGTAGATAATGGATTCTAAAACTTGGCATCATGTCTACTTGTTATCCTTCTGAAAAAAAGCTATATTGGTGGTACATACCTATAATCCCAGCTACTCAGGAGGCTGAGGCAGGAGAATCACAAGTTTGAGGCCAGCCTCAACGAATTGGTCAGAACTTGGTCAGAACTTGTCTCAAAATAAAATAAAAAACAGGACTGGGGATGTAGCTCAGAGGTAGAGCACCCCTGGATTAAATCCCTAGTAATTAACACACACACACACACACACACACACACACAGATGTGATGTTCCAGAGACAAAGATTGTGAATATGTATCTACTGTTCTAATGTTCTAAACTGGGAAAAATATGTAGGATTCTTCCCAATGCGTCTTTTATCCCCAGTCATAGACCTGATATCTGTGTTGGGTAGATGGGGTATTTTCAGATTATTTACATCCACTGGGGCTTGTGGTGACCATATGAACACTTTGGTTTACAGTTGGGACCCCCCTGATTTCAGCAGGATGGCCCAGTGGAATCAGCTTCAGCAGCTAGACACACGGTACCTGGAGCAGCTTCATCAGCTGTACAGCGACAGCTTCCCAATGGAGCTCCGGCAGTTTCTTGCACCTTGGATTGAGAGTCAAGACTGGTAAGTCCTGCTGGATGTGGTGGTGCACGCCTAGAATCCCAGCAGCTCAGGAGGCTGAGGCAGGAGGATCACAAGTTCAAAACCAGACTCAACAACTTAGCAAGGCGCTAAGCAACTCAGTGGGACCCTGTCTCTAAATAAAATACAAAAAAGGGCTGGGGATGCGACTTAAGTAGTAGTGCGCTTGCCTAGCCTACATAAGGCACTGGGTTTGATCCTCAGCCACCACATAAAAATAGAATAAAGATATTGTGTCAACCTAAAACTAAAAAATAAATATTAAAAAAAAACCCAAAAACTCAGACTGCTTGGTGGTAGATGTGTTGAAGATTCATTTGAATCTTATTTACTTGAGATCCAAAAGTATTCCTATACTCCAGTGATGTGGTAGAAATATTTTAATTTGAGAATTCCATTACAGATAGAAATTTGAGTCAGCACATATGATTCCCTTTAATTATAGGAAAGAGACACTGGGTAAGAGAAATAGATTCCATTTATATAGGAGATAATAACAACTAGTTTCTTTAACATGTTTAGGTCCATCTATTAATTTTGGTTTAACTCAGGCCTCTATTAATATGACCTAGTTTTTTCAGAATACATACCTGATTTGGTGAGGGGCCAAGATGTGATTCAGAGATGCTGGAGATAGGCCATTGCTTATTATACTAATAAGTGCTTATTTGTACTAATCATCTGACCACAGAGTTGATGAGAATTTAAAGCAAAACCACGTATCTGTCCAATTTGCTCAAATATTATATATATACTATGAGAGGGGCAATAATATGTGGAATAACTGTTAATAATCATGTAGTTGCTGAGCAAGGAAAATGGAAAATGATAACTAGGTTATAGCAGCAGGTTTGCCTTTTTTAATCTCTCCTCATGGTGATTTCTGAGTGTGTGAATGTGTGTGTGTGTGTGTGTGTAGGTATAGGTTTCAGAATTATTCTTATTGTGTTTCCCAGGGCATATGCTGCCAGCAAAGAATCTCATGCCACATTGGTGTTTCATAATCTCTTGGGTGAGATTGACCAGCAATACAGCCGCTTCCTACAAGAGTCCAATGTTCTCTATCAGCACAATCTGCGAAGAATCAAGCAGTTCCTTCAGGTGCGATGGGAAAATGTACAGAAGACGGTGGATCCGCAGAGTAGGGTGTTAGCTTCTTTCCTGGAAGAACTTCTTTCCTTATTTGGTTAAATAATGAGAACCTATCAAAGGAGAAAGAATTAGCCCTTTCTTAATTTTCTGCATGCTCACCCTTAAGCATCATTACCAGAAATTGACTTCTCATGTCACAGTTGAAGTAATAAAGTGATTGTTGTAATGTTAATCATATTATGTTAGCAGGCTAGTAACACCTACCCCTCACAAGAGGTTTGAGACAGGGTCTTGCAAAGTTGCTGAAGGTCTCACTAGATTGCCCAAGCTGGCCTCCAACTTGATATCCTCCTGTCTCAGCTGTCTGAGTCATTGAAATTATATGATATATGCCACTGCACCAGACAATTTTTTTTTTTAAAGTTGTCAGTGAACCTTTACTTTATTTATTTATATGCAGTGATGAGAATTGAACCCAATGCCTCACACATGCTAGGCAAGCACTCTACCACTGAGCCATCACCCCAGCCCCTACTGGGAAATTCTTACTTTTATTTATTTACTTTTTTGGGGTACCAGGGATTGAACTCAGGGCACTTGACCACTGAGCCACACCCCAGCCCTATTTTGTATTTTGTTTAGAGATAAGGTCTCACTGAGTTGCTTAGCACCTCATTGTTGCTGAGGCTGGCTTTGAACTCTCGATCCTCCCATCTCAGACTCCCCAGTAGCTGGGGTGCAGGCATGTGCCACGGTGCCCAGCAATTCTTATTTTAATTGTTAAAAGTTTGATCAGAGCCAGGTTCTGTGGCGTACACCTGTAATCCCAGCAGCTCGGGAGGTTGAGACAGGAGGATCATGAGTTCAAAGCCAGCCTTAGCAATGCAAGTCAGTGAGACCCTGTCTCCAAATAAAAAAATACAAAATAGGGTTGGAGATATGGCTCAGTGACTGAGTGCCCCTGAGTTCAAACCACGGTACCAAAAAAAAAAAAAAAAAAAGTTTGACTAGAAATTGGCTGGGCATGATGGCACACTCCTGTAATCCCAGCAGCTCTGGAGGTAAAGGATCGCAAGTTTGAGGCCAGCCTCAGCAATTTAGTAAGACTGTGTCTCAAAATAAGAAAAATAAGGGCTAGAGATTTGCTCGGTGGTAAAGTGCTCCTGGGTTCAGTCCCTAGTACAAAAAAAAAAAAAAGTTTGGCCAGAAATTTAATACTCCTAGATAAAATCAGGTACCTCCCTGTAAGACCAGGGTAACATACTGTCCAAAGACCCAGGCTCATATGCTGTCCGTCATCATTGTAACCACCTTTCTTCTTCTCTTTTTTTCCCCTGTCTTCCCCACTGATTTCTGCCAGGCTTTGAGGCCTTCAGCTGTTGTTTCATGTAGTATATATAAGGCTTTCCTCAGTTTATATAGAAATTAGTTGTAAGTTAACAAAATTCAGTCCATATCTCCAAAGTCTGCTGCAGCTTTTCATTGTCTTTCTCTCCTACATACAGAGTAGGTATCTTGAGAAGCCAATGGAGATCGCTCGAATAGTGGCCAGGTGCCTGTGGGAAGAGTCCCGCCTCCTCCAGACTGCAGCCACTGCAGCCCAGGTGAGACCCAGGAAGAAACAGCATCAGATTGGGAGAAACAGAAAATCAAACAACTGCACAAGCAATATTAACTATACTCGGAACAAAGGAAAAACATTTAAAATAGAGTGGCCATAAAAATACACTGAAAAATACATTAAAAGCGTTATACCACCCATACTGCCAAAAAAGCCAACGCCATGATTTTTTTTTTTTTTGTACTGGGATTTGAACCCCGGGGTGCTTAACCACTGAGCCACATCCCCAGTCTTTTTTATATTTTTGAAACAGGGTCTCACTAATGTGCTTAGGTCTTTGCGAAGTTGCTGAGGCTAGCCTCAAACTTATGATCCTCCTGCCTCAGCCTCCTGAGTGGCTGGGCCACCCTTCCAGGCATTTTTTTTTAATAGAACAATTTATTAAGGTGATAAAAGAAAGATCATCTAAGTCAACCTAGACTGTGGGGAAAGCATCACAGAAAGAGGAGGCTGTGTTTGAGCTGAGCCTTAAAACTAACTCAGACAGATGATGAGAGAGCACTGGGCTCAAAGAAGATCGTGTTCAAAGATGGAAACATAAACACATATGTTCTTGGGAGCAGGGTAGCAAGTTCAGTATCTGGCAGGGTGAGGGGACCTAAGTGACTCAGGGACCACATGAAAGTGTTTTTAATTAGTCACATCTAGTAACTGGGCTTTGGAAGAGCAGTTCATCTCAAAGGCCAAACTCCCTGAGTTTGAATCCTGCTGCTTTACCACTTACTGTGCATCTTAAGAAAACTACTTACTCTTCCTCTAAAGAGAACGACAGTGTGCCTACATCATAGAATTAAATTACTTCATACATGTAAAATGCTTGGAATAGTATCTGGCACAGAAGTGTGAAATAAGTGTTAACTGCCTTTTGCTGCTGCTGTTAATCATCATCACCAATATCACCACTACTATGAGAAACGGGAACCCACTAAAGAACTTTCACAGAAAACTGTTATACTCTGATGTGGGTGAAAGAGAAGCTAACACTGATAACACTCACTGTTCCATACCTGCAGCCTGAGAGGCTAAGAGGCACTTGCCTGTGTGTATTATGTATTATGAGAACCTTCATGTCTTCATCCTGTTCCCCAAGATAAAAAAACATTTTGGTTTAAGTCAATTTGAGCAGAGGCTCTAACTTTACCATGGGAGATAGGAAAGCAAAAGAATGTTCTTAGTCCTGTAGGACCCAGGGTCTGAAAACTGTCAAAGGCCCCAATCTAGCCTTTTCCCCACATCTCTAAGACACAGGGTCCTGCCAGGTTGCTCGGGCTGGTGCCAACTCCTGGGTTCAAGTAGTCTTCCTACCTCAGCCTCCCAAGTGGCTGTGATTGTAGGCATGTGCCGCTGCATATGGCTTATTTTTATAAAGGAAGTTTTTTGGAACCCAGCCACATTTATTCATTTATGAATTATTTGTGGCTGCTTTCATGCCACAGTAGCACAACTGAGTATTTGAAGCAGAGACTATGTGGCCCAGAAGGCAAAAAACATTCATCATCTGGCCCCAAGAGAAAACATTCACAGTCTGTGATAGAGAGCTATAAGTTGGATATTTGTGGCCTCAGTCCAGGCTTCACTCTTTTTTTCTCCATTTATATCATGTGGCACATTCTTAAATGCCCAGCATAGGTAAAAGCATAAAGAAATAGAAGAAAAGATACAATTTGCTGGGTGCAGTGGTGCACACCTCTGATACCAGCACCTCCAGAGGATGAGGCTGGATCGCAAGTTCAAAGCCAACCTCAGCCACTTACCAAGGCCCTAAGCAGCTTGTGATACCCCCATCTCAAAATTTTTTAAAAAGGGCTGGGGATGTGGCTCACTAGTTAAGTGTCCCTGGTTTCAGTCCCTGGTACCAAAAAAAAAAAAAAAAAGTAATCCCTGCTACTTAATGGGTTCTGAAGCTAGTTAGATCATGCACAAATACTCAAGGTGAGAAAAACACAGAAGAGGATGTGAGTCATTTTGTCCAAGGAAGTTGTAGAGGATTTCACAGGAGAGTGAACCTTTGAATTGAAAGTGAAGGTGAACAAGTTCACGGGTGCTTGGGCAGAGGTGCACACCAGGCTGAGTGGACAGTGTGCAGGAGGTGAAGTGTGGGAGCATACCGTATACAGAGAAGAATGGGTGGTTAGGGGTCACTGAGACATGGAGAGGGCAAGTTAAATTTATCAGATTGTTTGCAGTATCTTTGTGTTTTGGGTTCTGCTCCCTTTAAGAGCAGCACCAATTGAGAACTAGGACATGGGAGCCAAATGCAAATGAAAATAGCTATATTTCTGGTAGAACTAGATTGGAAAGCATGGCTTAAGCTGGTAACCACAGGGTCTTTCTAACACCTGTTGCCCGAGTTAGAACTTGGGGTGGAGAGATGGGGGTTACAAAGCTTAAGAGACCATGGACTGATACCTGCTGAATACAAAGAAGGAGACCTCTAGAAACCAAGACCTGCTCCTGCCCCAAGCAAGCTGAGGCAGGCAACAGTGAGAGAGGTAGGCAGAAGCTCCAGGACTGGGCTCTTTGACATGTCTCTGGACAGAGAAAGTCTTTCTCTCAATCTTACCAATCAAATGAGTCATTCCCACCCCTGGGAGAGTAACTAGGGGCAGGGGTTGCCCTCCCAAGATTTCTAAGAAGTTTGTATTATCTTTGCTTGGCTAGGCATGGGAAAGGGAGGGAGTTTTTAAACCGGCATGTTCAGACCTATTTTGGAGACTTCTGGTAGAAAGGTAGAGAACAGATTGGAAGTAAGAGAGTTTAGAAGCAAAGAGAACAGCAGTTGGGGCTTGAACTGAGCCCTTGATACTCAAGGTCGGTTTGAGAGATTGCAGGGAATGGACCAGGAGAGTTGATGAGTCAGTGTGAAATCAGGGAGAAATCAGATGCCTAAGGGTTTCTAGCTTGAACTCCTGGGTAGATAACATCTTTCCTGGACTCTCAAATCTGCCCCATTCATTGCCATCTCTGTCCTTGGGCCACTATCACACTATCTTGATCTCTGGCTTTTACATGGTCTTTTCTGTCCAAGATCTTTTATTACTGCTCTTTCACAAAACCTAGCAAATCCTAAAATGTTATGGACTAATTGATCTTTTCAAGGTACTAGCCTCTCCTTCTCCCCTGAGAGCACATCCGTTGATACGGAATTTCATCCTTAGGGCAGGATGGCGCTTTTATTCCACAGAAATGTTTGCACACCATGTTTCAGTAGATTGACATCTGCTATCATCAGGTATTCTGAATTTGTTTATTTTTGTAGTGCTGGAAATTGAACCCGGCATGCCAAGCATATAATCTACCACGGAGCTACACCCCAGCCTGTTCTGAAATTTCTTTACATCCTTACCCATGAACTGTTTGAGGGCAGGGACCATGTCTTAGTTCAACATGTGGACTCCTAGTTCAATCCAGAGTGGGTATATAGTATGATCTGTTGGTAAAAAGCCAGTGACACGGGTAAAACATGAGGGATTCCTTGGCACCCTGCCCACAGTTCCGCTGCCTCTGTTTCCTCTCCTCTCCTAGTGGCAGGGGATAGCAAGGAAGGGTAGTAGGGAGGGATGGAGGCCAGATGGGGGTGTTCCTTCCCCCATGTTCTGTGTGTTTATATGTGTGCTTACCCACTATTTGGCAGCAAGGGGGCCAGGCCAACCACCCCACAGCTGCTGTGGTGACGGAAAAGCAGCAGATGCTGGAGCAGCACCTTCAGGATGTTCGAAAGCGAGTACAGGTAAAGTAGGTCCTGGCTGAGAAGCTTGGATTGGGGCTATCGAGAGTGGGTCTTGCGTGCACATTTTCATTCTTCTCAGAATTTTTTTTTCCCAAGGAAACCTTTTTTAAATTTTACTTCTGTTTTTGATTTATTTTAAACAGGATCTAGAACAGAAAATGAAAGTGGTAGAGAATCTCCAGGATGACTTTGATTTCAACTATAAAACCCTCAAGAGTCAAGGAGGCAAGTGAATATTAGAGACGTTAAAATCTCCCATAGAAAGTGAGTTTAAAGACTTTTTTGTCTTAACTCTGTTAGACTTTATGGTGGGAGGTGAGGGACTCCTGCTGCTTAATGGTACCTCTTTTATTGTCTGTGTTTTGAGATGGGACTTGCTAAGTTGCTGAGTCTGGCCTTGAACTTGCAATCCTCCTACCTCAGTCTCCTGAATAGCTGGGACTGTAGGCGGGCACCACTGCACCTGGCTCCGAAGCCTTATTTTGAAGGCTGAGAGTATTCCCTCTGGTCAAGGGGTCTTTCCTTTGCCTACAGACATGCAGGATCTGAATGGAAACAACCAGTCTGTGACCAGGCAGAAGATGCAGCAGCTGGAGCAGATGCTCACAGCGCTGGACCAGATGCGGAGAGTAAGTGCCTTGGACAGCTTCCCTGGTGCCTTGCATGTCTTGTGGCAGAACTGGTTTCTAATAAGTTCCTTCTCTGGAACTGACTAAAGAATGTGGTTAGAGACAGTGTGGGGAAATGTTTTCTGACTTTGTTTTGGTTTCCAACCAGAGCATCGTGAGTGAACTGGCGGGGCTTTTGTCAGCAATGGAGTATGTGCAGAAAACACTTACTGACGAAGAGCTGGCTGACTGGAAGAGGCGGCAACAGATTGCTTGCATTGGAGGCCCTCCTAACATCTGCCTGGATCGTCTGGAAAACTGGTAACAGTTGGAAGAGAAACTTTTCTTTTCCTTTTAGAAACTGAATTGAATTATGGTCATAACCATAGGCCCACAAAGTTAGTACAATCTTTTTTTTGGTACTAGGAATTGAACCCAGCAGTACTTTACCACTGAGCTACTTCTCCAGTTCTTTTTATTTAAAAAAAATTAACTTTATTTTTGTATTTGTTATTTTTATGTGGTGCTGGGGATCCAACCCAGTGCCTCATGCCTGCTAGGCAAGCAGTCTATCACTGAGCCACAACCCTGGCCCCTTAATTTTTAAATTTTGAGTCAGTTTCTCTGTGTTATTTAGGGCCTCACTAAGTTGCTGAGGCTGACCTCAAAGTTGTGATCTACCTGCCCCAGCCTCCTGAGTTGCAGATATTACAGGTGTGCAACACCACAGGGCTCTCTGCTTATTTTTTCCTCTATGCATGTTATTAACATTTTGAAGCATAATATCTATTGAGAGTTGACATTGAAAGGGCTTGTGGGAATCATGCACATCGACCCCTTTCCTTCATGCACCAGACCTACCCTGGTGAAGAGGCTTGTCCAAACCTGCACAGGTAGTAAGCTTGGCTTAAATCCAAGTCTTCTGAGGCTATCTATTCCCCTTTAGTTCCCAGTTTCACATTTTAACATGGACAAGTTAGGATAATTAAAGTGAGTGCCAATCTTTACAGTTTATATCCACCGAATCGGAGTCTAATGCTTTCATGTTCCAGTGATAACTCCACCAGTGTCTCCTAATGCTGCAAGTTTTAACATTTCTTCCTTTATGTCCAATCCCATCTTTGAAATTTGAAATTTTAGGGACTATTAAAAAAAAAAAAAGCAAAATAAATTCCTTTTTCTTAATGTCACTGAACTATATTCTTAAAATGGTTAAAAATGGTCTATTTTATGCCATGTATGTTTTACCACAATAGAAGAAAATTCCCCTTTGTTATTTGAGGGGCTTTCTTAGTGGTATTTATACCTATGGTATGCCCCTCCCTTTCCCCTTCCCATTCCCACCTGTGTCTGTTTACCAGGTAACTGGAAACTTTCCTATTTTACTGGCAGGATCACCTCATTAGCAGAATCCCAACTTCAGACCCGCCAGCAAATCAAGAAACTGGAGGAGTTGCAGCAAAAAGTTTCCTACAAAGGGGACCCCATTGTACAGCACCGGCCAATGCTGGAGGAGAGAATCGTGGAGCTGTTCAGAAACTTAATGAAAAGGTAACTTAAAATCTTTGTCACCTTCTCTCATCCCCTGGCCCCAAAAAATGTCCTGAGGTGAGAGATTAACTGACTTCAGAGGATCAGAAAAAAGACTTGTCACCACAGTAGTATGTGACAAGCTGACCTTTTCCCTTTCAGTGCCTTTGTGGTTGAGCGGCAGCCCTGCATGCCCATGCATCCTGACCGGCCGTTAGTCATCAAGACTGGTGTCCAGTTCACCACTAAAGTCAGGTAGGCCATGGCATTTCTGCTTGGGTGGAAGTTTTGTTGAAGGATACCTTTAGAGTCAGAGTTGGTGTTTTGTTTTGTTTTGTCCTGACATGGGCTCTCACCGTATTGCCTGGGCTGGTCTCCACATCCTGGAGTCAAGTAGTTCTCCCACCTTGGCCTGGGTAGCTGGAACTGTAGGCACCAGCACTGCACCTACTTTCAGGGTTGTTTTTTTCAGGCCTCACAGGCAGTGCTGTTGTGAGTATGATATTTGCCAGCATGGTATGTGTGTGTGTGTTTGTAGTACTTGAGATTGAACCCAGGGGCATTCTCCAGTAAATTACATCCTCAGCCCTTTTTTATTTTTTATTTTAAGAAAGGATCTCACTAAGTTGCCTAGGCTGGCCTTGAACTTGTGATCCTCTTGCTTCAGCCTCCTGAGTCACTGGGATCACAGACATGAATCACCTTCATCTTGGTATTGAGTTATAAGTTTAATAGAAATAATACCAGCTACAGAGCATGTTCCTGTGATATTTTTCACTAAATGTTTTTTATTATCCTTTTGTGAAACTTCTATAACTTTGACCAAGTCCTTAGTTCTTAGGCTTTTTATCTATACCTTTTGGCCAAAGTGGGTAATGTTCAGCTTAAGATCAAAGATGGCCTTGCCTAGAGGATGAATTTGGGATTATGACTTCTTTACCTCTTAGAAATGAGGAATTATGAACTTTACATCATCTAAACTGGAGGTTTGAGGTGGGGGAGCATACTGACTTTTTTTAAGAAAGAATTATTATTATTATTTTTTAATAGGTTGCTGGTCAAATTCCCTGAGTTGAATTATCAGCTTAAGATTAAAGTGTGCATTGACAAGTAAGTATTCCTAAACATAGTTCTTTTTTAGAAAAAAAAAATTTGTAGATGTAGATGGACAACATGCCTTTATTTTATTTGTTTATTTTTTTATGAAGTACTAAGGATAGAACCCAGGGCCTCACACGAGCTAGGCAAGCACTCTGTTACTGAGCCCAGCCCTGGTCTTTTTTTTTTTTTTTCAAATGAGGAACAGAGAAGTGAGAACTTTGACAGATATAGTTTGATGGTAGAGACTATCTCTGTTCAGAAATCTTTGTTTTGTGAACAAATGTTTCCAGAAGCCTTGTAGTATATTCTTTTCATACCAGAACAATGCTGGTGGTATAGACTTGAGTTGGGATTGCTGCTGTGACCATTTGTCCCTCTTTTTCTTTATTTAGTATTTTATTTATAAATGTAATTTATACATATTATGCCAAATGGATAGTATATGAAAAGAATGGATTTTAAAAAATGTTCCTGGGCCTTGGGATATACTTCAGTGGTAGAGTTGCTGAGACTGGACTCTAACTTGTAATCCTGCTGCCTCAGCCTCCTGTCTCTGGGATTATAGGCATGAGCCACCCTAGAATGTAAAAGGCTCTGGGCTCAATTTCTAGCAACCTCTCCACCAAAAAAAAAAAAAAAAAATACCATAAAATGACAATATTTTTAAAATCTAAAATATACTTATCCTTTGAAGAGATTAGAAAAAAAGTATACTTGTTTTTATTAGGTAATATAATTATCAGGAAGTTTCATGAGAATAAACTGGAAAGTAATTATTAATGAAATCAAGGAAATTGACAAAGGTGTAGGTATAATAAATATGCAATAATGAATAACCTTGTTTTAGCTTTTTAATAGAAACATGATATCACAATAAACAACAGAAGTTAAAAATATATTATGATAAATTAACAGAAATATCTATGATCTATTTGAAGAAAACTGAAATTTTAGTGAGGAAATGATAGTTTCAAAAGTGATGAGATAGGGGCTTGGGATGTGGCTCAAGTGGTAGCGTGCTCGCTCGGCATGTGTGAGGCATTGGGTTCAATCCTCAGCACCACATAAAAAAAATAAAAAATAAAGATATTGTGTTCACCTAAAAAACTAAAAAATAAATATTTAAAAAAAAGTGATGAGATAAACCCAACTATATGTATAACTATAATACTCTAATTTTTTTTTAAAGTGAGAAAAGTCATATTCCTGATTTTACTATATAGATGTTGATTCTTCCTAGTTAATATAGGAACAACCAAAATATGAATAGGGTTCTTGAAAATCCATAATGTGTTTTTCTATTATCTTAGCTGAAAAAGATTTCTTTATCTTCTTACTGTAGCTGAAAAAGTAAACAAATTTATTTATGAAAAAGATAGCAATTTATTTTTTAAATAAAAAGATTTATAATTAGTATTAAACATAATACTTATTGTAAAGTTTACCATAATAATCATGTCTAAGTATACAATTCAGCTTTGTTAAGTATTTCACATTGTTGTGCAATAGGTCTTTAGAGCTTTTTCATCTTGCAAAACTGAAACTCCATACCAATTGAACAACTTCCCCTCATTTCCCCTTCCCTTTAGTTTCTGGCAACCACTATTCTATTTTTTTTTTTTAAGCCCTTTTTATTTTTTTGTTTTGAGATAGGGCCTTGCTGAGTTGCTGAGACTGGACTCTAACTTGTAATCCTGCTGCCTCAGCCTCCTGTCTCTGGGATTACAAGCATGAGCCACCATATCCACCTTAAATTTTTTTTTTAATTAAAAACACCTGGGAGAGGGAGTGGTATGAGAAGCTGCCCTCCTAGATATTAAAATGTGACACAAAGTTCCAGTTACTAATTTAGTGTGTTAACTAGGACAGAAATAAGTTGATTGATCATTGAAACAAAACCTGAAATCTAGAAATAGACCTCTAGTTTATATAGGGAATTAGTATGTTTAAAAATGAAATCTCACCTTAGTGAAGAGAAGATGGATTATTCAGCAGGTGGTTTTGGGGGATTTTGATATTAAGGATTCAGTTGGGAAGTTTAAATCTTATGTTTTAGTGAGGATTGAACTCAGGGACACTTGACCACTGAGCCACATCCCTATCTCTATTTTGTATTTATTTAGAGACAAGGTCTTACTGAGTTGCTTAGCACCTCACTGTTGTTGAGGCTGGCTTTGAACTTGCAATCCTCCTGCCTCAGCCTTCAGAGCCACTGGGATTACAGGCATACACCACTACACCTGGCTTAAATTTTACTTTTAACAGTCTGTATGAATAGATTCTAGCATATTTAGAATTTAATAAGGGTATCTTGAGAATATAGGTAAATAAATATGTAATGGGAAAATGGCACAACCCCTTTGGAAGAACATTTGGCAGTTTCCTAAAAAGTGAAACCTGCGTCTGCCATATGATGCAGTCCTTTCATTCCTAGGTATTAACCCAAGAAAAATGAAAGCAAATATACACAAGTGTCTATTAGCAGGTGAATGAATAACTGATTTGTACTGTATCCACAGAATATACTCACCAACAAAAGCAAAGCTTGACTGATAGCTGTAACCCATAAATAAATCTCAAGATAATTATGCTGAGTAGAAAGAAACCAGACCCCCCAAAAGAGATATACAAATATATATGTTCTAAAAATGTAAATGATCTATTGTGACAGAAGGCAGTGGTTGGCCAAGGGCGGAGTTGAATGTAGGTCTGGGAAATGGATTACAAATGGTCATAGGGAAACCTTGAGGGTGATTGATACATTCCTTGATTGCACTGATGGTTTTACAATGGGCATAGTGTGTATGTGTGTGTGTGTGTGTGTATATATATATATATGTGTGTGTGTGTGTGTGTATACACACATACATAAATTAACCTGATCAAATTGCACATTTTAGGGCCTGGGGTTGTGGCTCAGCGGTAGAGCGCTCACCTAGCATGGGCAAGGTGCTGGGTTTAATCCTCAGCACCACATAAAAAAAATAAGCAAATAAAATAAAGGTATTATGCCCAATTATAATTAGAAACATAAAAATTGCACATTTTTTACAGCAGAGTTTATTGGTTGCCAATTATACAACAAAATAATAATACAAAAAAGGAATATATATACATATCTATGCACGCACACACACACACACACATACATATATATACAGGTGCACACCTGTAATTCCAACAACTTAAGAGGATTGCAAGTTTGAGACCAGCCTAGGCAACTTAGCAAGACCTTGTCTCAAAAAATAAGAAAAGGGCTAGTGGGCTGGGGTTATGGCTCAGTGGTAGAGCACTCACCTAGCACATGCGAGGCCCTGGGTTTGATCCTCAGCACCACATAAAAATAAATAAACAAAATAAAGGTATTGTGTACAACTAAAAAATAAATTAAAAAAAAAAGAAAAAAGAAAAGGGCTAGGCATGTAGCTCCTTGGTAGAGTGACCCCAAATTCAATCCCCAGTACTGAAAATAAAAAATAAATGAATAAATACATATGCATAAGTTAGGCATGAGGGGGAACTTTCTGGTCATGCTAACTGTTATGTTTTAAAATGTGATATGTGGTGGCTGGAAATGTAGCTTAGTGATAGAACACTTATTTAGTGTGCTTGAGGTCCTGGGTTTAATTGTCAGGACTACAACAAATAAACAAAGAAATAAGATGTGGTGTATGGAAAGAAATCTTATGAATGGTTTAAAATTAATCAGTTTTCTCTTATAAACACACATAAAATGTACCATTTAACAGTGTCTATTATTAATTCTATATATGTAGATAAATATATAACAATAGAGAAGAACTGTTAAAATGGTTCCCAAATTTTAAAAAAACGGGGGTGGGGGGAGAAGACTAAGAAATGTGACTATATTAAAAATGATATATTCAGGCTGGGGTTGTGGCTTAGCAGAAGAGCGCTCAACTCGCACATGTGAGGCCCTGGGTTCGATCCTTAAGCACCACATAAAAATAAATAAATATTGTGTATAAGTATTGTGTCCAACTACAACTAAAACATCAGTATTTTAAAAAAATGATATATTCAACAACAGAGTTTTAAAATAGAGTGATCACACTGGAAGAATATTTCCAGCTGTCTCAAAGAAAGTGCTTGCTCTGAGTTGCAGGAAACAGCAGACCTTTACAGAAAATCCAGTGTGGCTTAAGTTAGGATATTTGCAACCCAGTATAACTGGAAATGCAGAGTTTGGGCAAGTTCCCAATGGCAGTAAGATCAATGACTCATAGAAGTCCTCAAGGATCCAAGATCTGTCTCTCTCCTCTGCCATTATTAACCATCTCTTGCCCTCCAAATTTCCCTTCTGGGTTGCTACATGGTTGCTTGCAGCAATTAAGGTCATGTGTTTTCTTGCTCATGTTCAGCTGAATCTTATAGAAAAATATAAGTCCAGCCTAGGATAGAATTATAAGTAGATCATGTCCTCACCTCTAGACTCTTGGTTTGTGGGCATGCTATGTTCTGATGAATGTAAAGACCAGGATTCCCCTGGAGTGTCTATTACTTAAGCATGTACAGGGATTTATGTTTCACATCTAAAATGTAACTAAATTAAAGAATTTCCCATCCATGTAAATAACACAGAGTAGGATCTTTGAAGAAATGCTGGTCTTCTCACCAATCTTAATCTGTGTTCTTAACAGAGACTCTGGGGACGTTGCAGCTCTCAGAGGGTAAGTTAAGCCTAGAAGCTTCCTTTTGTTTTGTTTAATCTAACATTATCCTCTGGCCACTCAGTCACCCTTGTGGTTGGTTTTTCTCCTGTGATTCAGATCCCGGAAGTTTAACATTCTGGGCACAAACACAAAAGTGATGAACATGGAAGAATCCAACAATGGCAGCCTCTCTGCCGAATTCAAGCACTTGGTATGTCAGAGGAGCCTGAACCCCTCTTCACATAGAGCCTCTGGCCAAGTGAAGGGCTGGGACAGCCTCATGTGACTTTTTCTTTTTTTACAGACCCTCAGGGAGCAAAGATGTGGAAATGGGGGCCGCGCCAATTGTGATGTAAGTTGTTGGGTATGAAAGCCAATGAGGGGGGGTTCTTTTGAGGGAGAGAAAGACAGAAAGTCCTCTTATTGCCCAGAATTAGAGGCTTTAAGCTGTTACTTCAGAAAAGTCACTGTGGGCCACCCTGAGGTGTTCAGAAGGCCCGTATGCAGTGGAGTTCTCTGGCTTGGAGCATTTCTCCACGTGTCTGGGGAGTTAGCTCCTCATTTAGGAGAAGTGGAAAGTCCCCTGCTGAGTTGCTATCCACACCCACTTGGTAGGAGGGACACTTTCCACCTTGCTTGGGGCTTTCCAAATTCCCTTCCATCTTTTGCCAGCTGGCTCCATTTTTACTGACCTATTTTTCCGAATGAGATGGAATAAAGGGTATAAATGTAACAAATCCGAGTTAAAGTTTTTAAGAACAAAACTGGGGCTGGGGCTGTAGCTCATTGGTGGAGCACTTGCCTAGCGTGTATGAGGCCCTGGGTTTGATCCCTAGCAGTCAAAAAAGAAAAAGAAAAAGCAAGATGTAAAATAATTTGCGTAGTGCATTTTTTAAAAATACACTGGCCAGGTGCGGTGGTACACGCCTGTAATCCCAACAGCTTGGGAGACTGAGGCAGGAGGATGGCAAGTTCATAGCCAGCCTTAGCAAAAGCTAGATGCTAAACTCAGTGAAATCCTGTCTCTAAATAAAATACAAAATAGGGCTGGGGATGTGGCTCAATGGTAGAGAGCCCCTGAGTTCAATCCCCAGTACCAAAAAAAAAAAAAAAAAATGCACTACACTGTTTTACATGTATTCACATATGTTTAAAACTTCTGAAGCCAGACATGGTTGCCCATGTATATAGCTCCAGCTACTTAGGAGGCCAAAGAGGATTTATTGCTTCAGTCCAGGAGTATAGACAACCCTGGGCAACTTAAGGAGCCTGTTTCAAAGTAAAACTTCTGGAGAAATATATACCCACAGAGCTTATATATTAGTGATGATGTTAATAGACAAGGCTATTTTATATTGTCTGTTATATTTGCATATTAAACTGAATATACTACCTCCATAATCAGAAAAAGGAGTATTTTAAAAATAAATTCAAAGGACTGGGGATGTTGCTCAGGGATAAAGCATATATTTAGCAAACTTGAAGACCTAGCACCAAAAAGAAAAAAAAAATTGTAATTCTATTTCTGAGAATTCATTTGTAACTCTTGTTAAAAATAAGATTGCTGATGGGGCTGGGGTTGTGGCTCAGTGGCAGAGCATTTGCCTAGCACATGCAAGGCCCTGGGTTGGATCCTCAGCACTACCAAAAATAAATAAATAAAGATATTGTGTTCAACTAAAAACTAAATATTTAAAAATAAATAAATAAATTAGGTACTGCTGGGTGTTGTGGCACACGCTTGTAGTCCCAGCAATTTGGGAGACTGAGGCAAGAGGATGATAAGTTTGAGGCCAGCCTCAGCAACTTAGTGATACCCTGTCTAAAAGTGAAAGATAAAAAAGACTTGGGATATAGCTCAGTGGCAGAGTGCCCTTGGGTTCAATCTCCAGTACCAAAGACAAAAACAAACAAACAAAAAAGTAAGGTTGCTGTTCTGCTGGTGGGAATAAATATTGTTAGTCACTTTTGAAAATATTTTGCCATTATAATAAAGGAACATAGCTGGGCATATGCACCTAAAGTGTCAGCTCTTCAATAGCTTGGGACAGGAAGATCACTTGAACCCTGGAGTTTGAGGCCGACCCAGGTAACAGTGAGATTCTGACTCTTACGAAACAAAACAAAAAAACTATACCCAATAAACAAGCAGAGGTATTCGCAGGATTCAACAATAGAGAAATCTTTGCATTAGACTAACAGGAGACATTTACAAAATATCAGTGCTACTTCATTTTAATTTAGAACTTAAAATTAGAGAAGTACTCATTAACATTATAATGGAAAACTGAGTTGTGGTGTAGTCCTATAATGGAACACTATGTAACTGTGAAAAAGAATAAATTGCAGGTGCCCACACAAATTTCACATTGAGTGAAAAGTGAGCCACAAAAGAATACAGAGTGGGATTCCATCTGTCTGAAGTATACAATCATCTCAAACTAAACAATATACGGATTGTTTAGAGAAATAAATAAACTGTAAAGAAAAGCTAGGAAATGATAAATCCAAAAATAAAATGGCAGTTATTTCTATAGAAAGATGGAAAGAAATGGAGTAGAGGAAAAACATCTGCAGAATTTCAGTGGTAATGGTCTTTTAAACTGGGTGGTAGGGCTTGGGGTGTAGTTCATGTAGTTCAGGGGTAGAGGAGGCATGAGGCCCTGGGTTTGATCTCCAGCACAACAGCAGCAACAACAACAGAAGAAGAGAAGAAAGAAAATCCAGTCAGCAAACTGGGTGGCAGATTCACAGATGTTCTTTTTTTAAGTAGGGATTGAGCCTACAGCATTCTACCACTTTGCTCCATCTCCATTTCTTTTTAGTTTTTATTTTGCCTTTTCCTAAGTTGTACAAGCCTGGCTTTGAACTTGTGATCCTTCTGTCTCAGCCTTTTGAGCACTGGGATGACAGGCATCTGCCACCACTCGTGGCAGGAGTGTTCATTGTTTTGTTGTTTTTTATGCCTTACACCTTTATAAGTAATCTGTAGGATTTGTGTGATAGTATAATAAAAACCAAGTGAAAGATCAGGTTGAAAGTCAGCATCGGAGGGTCCACATATTAAAGAGAGCATGTGCTCAGTGAGTATCCTTGGCAATGTGTCTGTGACCGTCCTATGGCTCACCCTTCTTCGCATAGTAAGGCTGTGGAGTGTCACTTTCTAAGACTGTGGCTGTTGGTAACAAATTCCCTTCTCTCTGAAGAGGAGTGTCTTTCTTGCTATTGTAGGCCTCCCTGATTGTGACCGAGGAGCTGCACCTGATCACCTTTGAGACTGAGGTGTATCACCAAGGCCTCAAGATCGACCTAGAGGTAAATTCTGCAGAATCGGGGTGGCCTTACATGCAGGGGTGACTCAGGACAAGAAGGTCTAGTGAGATTTTATTACTAGAGAAGGTGGAATGATCACAGTTTCCTAAGTATAATATTTATTTATTAGTTTTTTTCCTGAAAAAGATTCTTGGTGTCCCATCCAAGAATAAAATTTGCTTGAATGCTTAGAAAACGTGTGAACACTTGACTTTTGGCAGACTTGATATGAGAAACTGTATTTAGAAAATGATTAGGATCAACTGTATAAAGTTTGGGCAAAATCCTTAGCAGCCATTTTTTTTTTTTTTTTTTAAGTTGCAGTTGGACACAATATCTTTATTTTATCTATTTATTTTTCTGTGGTGCTGAAGATCGAACCCAGGGCCTTGCACGTCCTAGGCAAGTGCTGTACCGCCAATCCCAGCCCCAGCAGCCAGTTTTGAGTATGCAGAAAATCATGGCATTTGCATTCTTGTGCATGCCTTCTTGATCTTTAAATTGAATTAGACTAGGAAAAGCAGGAATCCTAGGCTTTGATTTCTGAGTCTGTTGTGTTTCATGAGAAAATGCAGATTCTTGGGATTTTGGAGAATGTCTTTTCCAAGTCTTATAAATGGGGAATCTGGGGCTGGGGTTGTAGCTCAGTGGTGGTGTGCTTGCCACTGGCTTTGATCCTCAGCACCACAGAAAAATAAATAAATAAAATGAAACCATGAGTCAAAATGCATCTTTCCTCCTTAAAAAAAAAAAAAAATGGGGAGGGTGGGATCTGGGGGCTTGAGTCAGGCTTTGAGCTGTCAGATTGTACAAGTTACTGGTACAGACACAGCCAAGCCCCGGCCTGTGTTTGGCATGCTTTCCCTCTGGGCCTTGCGCTGACTCAGTGAGAGTCCTTGTCCTCCTCCTTGCCCAGAATCATTAGCAGGTGTGCTTTTTTTTTTTACTCCAAACCTGCGCAATATGGAGATTTTGGAAGCTGTGAAAACTCCTCTGCCTCCCTAATTCATCCCTCACACACTCCACAGACCCACTCCTTGCCAGTTGTGGTGATCTCCAACATCTGTCAGATGCCAAATGCCTGGGCCTCAATCCTGTGGTATAATATGCTGACCAACAACCCGAAGGTTAGTGTCCCAACCTCTTGGAAACCACGTTCTCTTGTAACTTCTTGGTACCTGAGGCAGGTCATTAGCACTACCCTCTCATCTGAATGAGCAAATGTATTATTTTCAATAGAACGTGAATTTTTTCACCAAGCCCCCAATTGGAACCTGGGATCAAGTGGCTGAGGTGCTGAGCTGGCAGTTCTCCTCCACCACCAAGCGAGGCCTGAGCATCGAGCAGCTGACCACGCTGGCAGAGAAACTCTTAGGTCTACATCTTGCCTATTTACCCCGCTGCCCTCCTCAGACCAGGAATCTGGCCTGGGGGCTTGAACAAGGCACCCTGCTGGTGCCAGGTTGGGAAGTCAGGGCACTGAGCAAGTTTGCATCCTGGTGACCATTTTTTTATGAGGTGGGAGGTAGATTTCTTTTCTCTTGGTTGCTGTCTTCTTCGCCCTTCCAGGGCAGTACTCTGTCTGACCTTAGAAGATACTTTAAGTGTGTGTTAGAGGATGGAACTAAAGGCTTGACATTTCCCATCCATTTCTTCAATAAACTTAGACTAGGTTTTAAGTTTTCTCCCCTCAAAAAAAAAAAACTTAAGTAGAATACTTTTTGTGTTATCTAGACACAAAGTTAAAAGTAGCTTTGTCCTGTGCTGCTACAAAATGCAACCATCTAATCCTAGCTGTGAGCTGGTTAGTGTGTGCCTGGTCCCCACCACAGCAGGCTAGGAAAAGCAGGGGGGCTTGATCCTTACCCACCCTCTGCTGGGCTAAAGGGCAACTCGGGTGTGGGAATCAGGTGACAGGTATGGGCATATGTGTTTGCATGTGTTTTTGTGCAAACATGTACGGAGGCATGCACACACAATGGCTACCTTCACACACGTGAAAGCCAGTGGTTCCTGGCCCATTGTGGGGCTAGGAACTTTCTGTTTTTAAGAAATAAGATCTTGAACAAAGCTGAAACTTTTCTACTTGGTTTTTTTTTTTTTTTTCTTTTTCTTTAGGACCTGGTGTGAACTATTCAGGGTGTCAGATCACATGGGCTAAATTTTGCAAAGTAAGTGATCTTGTTAAATTCTTGTGGTCACCTCTTGGGAGTGGAGTGCTCATCTGGGAGGTAGTTGTAGAGGACGCGAAGCCTAGAGATCTGAACTCTTACTCCAGCAGCCAGTGGGACCTCCTGGAGGGTAAATGGGCTGGAAGGATTTTGGAGGTATACTGTGTTCCAAGAGGGAAAAGGCTGGATGGTGGTGGACTTAGCTTTCCTATTATTCTTTTCCCTAGGAAAACATGGCTGGCAAGGGCTTCTCCTTCTGGGTCTGGCTAGACAATATCATTGACCTTGTGAAGAAGTACATCTTGGCCCTTTGGAATGAAGGGTAGGTTGAAACTCCTGCCTGGAAGAGGGCACCGTGCGAACATGTCACGCGTGCTCTCTCAGTAAGCCAGTGGCTGGGGATGCCCTCTAACAATGTGGTTGCCCCTCTTTGGCTCCAGGTACATAATGGGCTTCATCAGTAAGGAGCGGGAGCGGGCCATCCTGAGCACCAAGCCCCCAGGTACCTTCCTGCTGAGATTCAGTGAAAGCAGCAAAGAAGGAGGAGTCACTTTCACTTGGGTGGAAAAGGACATCAGTGGTAAGCCTGGCTCTGCTTACCCCACCCCTGGCTCTTGCTCTGCTGTCACCACTTGGCTGCTACTAGAAACAAGCACCGACTGCCCCCTAGAGGTCGTAGTTGGCCTCAAACTTGCCTCTCCTGATCAGGCTTGTATACAGTTGAGTAACTTCTCTTCAGATTCTCCCAGCGGAAGAATTGCTTTGTCAGGTTGCTTGCTCCAGTGGCTGATATTTGTTGATTTAATTTGAGATTTAAATTTTATTCTTTATCCCATCTCCTTTCTTCCCTAACTTATTAATATATCTTATGCCTGGGAACCAACTAAATAGCCTCTCAAAGTCAGCCTAAGCCAAGCATGGTGGTACATGCCTGTGACCTGAGCTACTCAGGAGGATCAAAAATTTGATGTCAGCCTTAGCAACTTAGTGAGACCCTGTCTAAAAATTAAAAAAAAAAAATTTTTTTTTTTTTTTTTAAAAAAGGGCTGGGGATGTAGCTCAGTGGTAAAGCACCCCTGGATTTACTTCCCAGTACCACAAAAGAAAAAAGGAGAGTTGGGGGAGAGTCAATCTCAACATTTTCACAATGCCCAGCAACTGGATGGCTATTCAGGGTATCAAACTCTGGGCTGGCATAACTCTTCATTCAGAAAAGATAAACAAGCCATTTTCTCTGAGATTACTGGCTATGGGTTTCATTATCTTTCCTTCCCAAATCCCATTAGGAAAGACCCAGATCCAGTCAGTGGAACCATATACCAAGCAGCAACTGAATAATATGTCATTTGCTGAAATCATCATGGGCTATAAAATCATGGACGCTACCAATATCCTGGTGTCTCCACTGGTCTATCTCTACCCTGACATTCCTAAGGAGGAGGCATTTGGAAAGTATTGTCGGCCAGAAAGCCAGGAGCATCCTGAAGCTGACCCAGGTAGTTGTTGATTTTCCACATTTATGGCATTTACCTCTTGGGGGAAGTTGGAAACTACAAGATTCTTAGAGGATAGACAGGCAAATGTCCAAATAACTGTTATCTAGTAGATATCAGAAGATTTGAGACTCTGCCTTGGGTCTGGTGTGCTTTCTTTTATTATCACTAAATGCATGGCCACTGTCAGGTGAGCTGAAGGAGGGCTTGCTGGAGGAGATGGTCCTTAGTAGCATCGCAGCCTGGTTTGCGGCAGAGTGGGGAGTGTCAAGTTTGTAGGGGAGAGGGGTGTGAAATTGGTATTTAGAATGTACAGCTATTAAAAATAAGAAATTTTTCAATGTGCATGAGCGTATGTATTATAAAAGTTAAATATAAGTTAGTTTACGTTAAGCCTCTAGTCTCTGGGGCTGTCCCAAGCATAGAGGAGGTAGAGTCCTCTGGTCTGTTCCCATTCAGTGCTTGCTGCTTTGACTCTCTAGTCTCTGTCCACATGCTGATGAGGAGCCTCTATTTGCCAAATCTTTGCATTTATGTATTTGGTGCTAGGAATCGAACCCAGGGCCTCACACTTGCTCAACAAGTGCTCTACCACTGAGCTACACCCCCTGCCCTTTATTTAATGTTTTGTAATTGTAGAACCAACAGTGGGCTCTTTAAAGTAATCCTTTGGAGATTTGACTTCCTTATCCCAGTTGCTTTTCAAAAAACTGTTCTTGTTGGGCTGGGGTTGTGGCTCAGTGGTAGAGCACTTGCCTATCATGTGTGAGGCACCGGGTTCAATTCTTAGCACCGCATACAAATAAATAAAATACAGGTCCATCAACAACTAAAAAAATGTATTTAAAAAACAAAAACCAAAAAACTGTTCTTGTCCAGTTAGCACACACGCACAAACCCACTGGTTGCCCTCCTGCCCTTTTACAGGAATTCCCTCCAAGGATTTTTCAGGGTGGGGGGAAATGAGACTTGGAAGAGGGAATTTGAGCTCGTTGACAGTTGACTTTCCTTTTCCCTTTGTTCTGGTATTGAGTTCAGTTCATAGTGTGGAAGAGTTTAGCTTTCACTTCCTGTCTACCGCTTATCTCTCTTTCCACCTTGTGTTTCAGTTAGGAGATCTGTTTATCAGCCTTTCTCACACTACTCTTTGTTCTTTCTGCACAGGACATTGAGGTTTAAGTGCTGGTCCTTTGGACTAATTTTGCTTTCAAGATCCCAGCTCCCAGTCTGAGGCTGCATCCTCCATCTCCATCCATCCCATGGGCGAGAGGCACATCCTTTCCTGCCAGGAGACATTCCTTGGGGGCCAGGCACTGATCACAATAAAGAAACTAACTACCTAACATGTGCCTGCCTTGTGAGTGAGCATAGGAGCTTGGCAAGAGTGTGGCGAGGGAATAGGAACTTTCAAATGAGACTCTCAGGGAGATGAACCTGTGACCATTTCTTCTCTTTTTCCATCTTGAGAGCATTATGGTATGAAGTTTCTCAGAGATAGATCCTCTTTCCAGGACTCTTCCCTCCTCCTTACTTTTCCACCAGAATCCCACACAGTATCTTCTTTTGGCCTGAAGGAAGGATTCTGAGCCACTTATAAATTAGATAAGTACATTCACAACCTTGTATGGTGCCACATGTAAATCAGCTTTTTCTTCTTTATTGGGCATTAGTTCTTGGCTTCCACAGTTCCCTCTTAGGGTAAAGCTATTTTTCTCAGCTCCCTTGATCACTGGAGAATGAAATCCTTTTCTCTCTAGGATGTCAGCTCCTCTCGGGTCTGGACCAAAAGAGTTGAATTTATGACACCAGAACCCTGCCTCCACAGTTTCTTTGGATTCTGTACTGATTTTAATCTGTTTCTTGGTCAAAAAGTAAACTTGGCTAGCTACCTACAGGCTGCCCCTCGGTGCCCTCTCAGACTCTCATCATGCATCTGATCCCTCAGTTTCTCTGTTCATCCCCCCGTGTGTCTGTCTGTGCTTTTCTTGACCCAAACACCTTGCCTCCTATGTAGTTTGTTCACCTGGATCCTCAAGGTCCTGGACTTCTGCCAGGGTTCTCAAGGCTCCTGGACTTCTTAGTGCAAGCATTCAGTATCCAAAATTCATTGATTCTAATTGTCACATTTCTAACAATAGAATCAGAATTACAAATGACTGGGATTATAGATGATCAGAACCTCTTTCTTCCTCTACTTGAGAAAGTGTCTCGCCCCAGGACTCTTAGCTGTTGAAGATGTCCCTGGACTCTCTGGTCTCCTGACTTCTAGTTGGATCAGTTGTACTGCACCACATGACATCTCCCCTGTGTATACAGGCTGCCTTTTTTGGATGTATTTATCCAACTGATTACCAATATCCTCCTAGAAAAGTGTGCGAGAAGCCAGGTTTGGTGGCACACGCCTATAATCCCAACAACTCAGGGGACTGAGGCAGGACAGTGGCAGACTCAACAGTTTAACAAGGCCCTCAACAACTTCTCAAGATCTTGTCTCAAAAAATAAAAAGAACTGGGGATGTAGCTCAGTGGCAGAGCTACATTTCCTGGGGTTCAATCCCCAGGAAAGAAAGAAAGAGAAAGAGAGAAAGAAAGGTGTGATAGAGGCAGATTATAGTGCTTGTAGGAATAGAAATAAAACCCTCAGCTTGGGAAGCCATTGTTTTTGTGTTCTCTTAAAGACTGGGTCATGTTGGTATCTGGGTGGAACACTATGCCAAGTCTATATAGAGTTGGTTCCTATAGGCAGAGAAATTATCTAAGAGATATGACCAGGCAAGAGGAGAGTCTTCAGACCACATGGAGACAGTTGAATGTTTATATAATCCAAGGAAAAACTGAACACAAGGTTGCCATTAGTCTAGGCTCAGGTGAGACAAGGTACACCACAGTCTCTGCAGCTCGGCAAAGCCTTGTATGAAGAATTGAACTTCAGACTGCAAATGCCTGAGACATCAAATAGTACGTGATGAGGAAGGGCAACCCCTGTGGTCAGATGGAGGTTTTCAGACAATCTGTATAAGGATGGAGTTTCACGTTTGCATCAATGAGGCCAACAGCTTCCTTCAGTCCTGTATACATAGGTCACCATCAGTAAGTCCAGTTTTCTTTTTCTCAGGTGCTGCCCCATACTTGAAGACCAAGTTTATCTGTGTGACACCGTAAGTGGCTTCCTTTCCCAAATGTTGCATTCATTTCTGATGTCCTCAGTTATCCCCCAAGAATAGGGAGGACACCGGGTGAGAGTATCCCGTGAAGGGTTGGAAGCTCCTGGGCTGTGTTTAGCACTCAGAGTGACCTTGTGTGTTTAAAAAGCTTGAGCTTTTATTTTTCTGTTGGAGACCAGAGTTTGATGGCTTGTGTGTGTGTGTTTTGTTCTTTTTTTTTTTCCTCCATTGTGTCTTGTCAACCCGGCCCTTTCCCCTCCTGCGCTCCCCATTTCCTACAGAACGACCTGCAGCAATACCATTGACCTGCCGATGTCCCCCCGCACTTTAGATTCATTGATGCAGTTTGGAAATAATGGTGAAGGTGCTGAGCCCTCAGCAGGAGGGCAGTTTGGTGAGTATTAGGTGCTCAGACTTTGTCCCTGTGAGGCATGTCAGCCCACTTTCCGTGATCTTGATGTGTACAGAGCCTGTCACCACATTGGTAGGAGGAGGTTCTAGAGCTCTCCAGCAGAAACAGAATGTACACCATGAATATAAATATAATTTTTCTAGTAGCCCTATTGAAGACAGTAAAAAGAAACAGATGAAGTTAATTTTTACAATATATTTTATTGAACCCAGTAAATCTGATGTACTGTCATTTCAACACGTAAGAAAAAAATTAGTTTTGCATTTTTTTTTATTCCAAGTCTTCTAAATGTAGGCTTTTGACAACTGTAACACACCTTGATTTGGACTAGTCACATTTTAGGCACTTGGTGCCTAAGGCTGCCATGTTTAGATCTTCTTGAAACATGGAGAGCTGGGAATGAGTCAGGTAGGAAAGAAGCTGAGCCCTTCCAGAGGGCAGGGCCCTGTAGGAAGGGGAGGAAATCTGGCTTTTCTGACCCTGTTTTGGCCTGAAGGGGCAGAAGACTGGTGAGCATGGTGACCTGAGCCCTGTCCCCTGAGGGCTGGGGGGGATGTGCCCTGCCTGCTCCAGGGTCAGGTGGCTGAACCAGCATTTTCTCTCTCTTCAGAGTCCCTCACATTTGACATGGAGTTGACCTCTGAGTGCGCTACCTCCCCCATGTGAGGAGCGAGAACGGAAGCTGCAGAGATGTGACTGAGGCACCTACCCGTGTTCTACCGCCCCTTAAGCAGCCAAACCCCAGAGCATCTGAAGCTCCTCTTTGTGGTTCCAGATTTTTTTTTTTTTTCAAATCTCCTACTTCTGCTATCTTTGAGCAATCTGGGCACTTTTTAAAATAGAGAAACGAGTGAGTGTGGGTGATGTGCTTTTATCTAAATGCAAAGAAGAACGCTCTCCGAGACCATGATGGGGGCATGGTAGTGGGTGGCCAGCGGGAGAAAAACGGAAATGTCTTGTATTCTTTTGTTCCCCCCTGCCCTCTTTCTCAGCAGCTTATTGTTGTCGTTTGTTGTTAGACAAGTGCCTCCTGGTGCCATCGGCATCCTTCTGCCCATTTCTGTGAGCTAATGCCACAGGCTGCCTGTTGCTGCGTGCTCTCGGCCTTGCACTTTTAACCTTGCTAACGTCCAAATAGAAGATAGGACTATCTAAGCCCCTAGGTTTCTTTTAAATTAAAAACATAATAATAATTAAAGGGCAAAACACACTGTAGCAGCATAGCCTTTCTGCATTTAAGAAGACTCAGTTAATGGCCTCCTTGGTGCTTTAAGCATTCAGCTATCTTCAAGCTGATAATTTATATAAACCCTGAAATGGGTATCAGTCAAACCCTTTAAAGACATCGAAGCTATGGCGTGGCTATTGGGTTTGAACTGGGAGGGTTGAGGAGAACCAAACATCCCAGACTCTTGTTATTTTATTTTCCTTGGAGTGTGTTGGCCTGCTAGAGGGTAAGGCTGGGAGGGGGCCTGAAAATCCTTGCTCCCTTTCTCTTTGGACTTTGGCCCTTGTTTCAGAGCCAGCTTGTTCCTGCGTATTCCTTATCAGGCCTAGGATCCCGCTGGCTTCCTTTCCCACAGATCCCTGCTAGTTACACAGCTCCTTCCCTGTCTAAAGGACCCCTGTCCCATTTGTTTTAGGAATCCTGGTCTTGGGACCTCAGGAGATAAAAGAGAGAAGTTGTAGGTTGAACATGACTCAGACTCCAGGTCCCCAACAAAGTGTCTAGTTGAGCTCAGGGAATATGGTTCTTATCCCAGTTTCTTGGTGACATCCAAAGGCACCTGTACCCCTTCTTCACTTGTTAATATAGGGCCAAGGCTGACTGATAAAATCAAGGCCTGTCCCTCCTGTGAGGTGTACACACCTGGCCTCCCTCAAAACTGGTGACTGTCTGCCCCCTCTGGGGCCCCCGGGTGAGGCAGAACAATGAGAATGCCTGCACCTGCTCTGGCCTTCCTGTCAGTGCCTGCCTCAGCCTGTCAGCACACCTCTGCCCTGCATTTTGGAACGCTTAGCAGCTGGCGACATGGGCCTTCTCTGACCAAGAGGCATGGCTGGATTTGGTGACTCAAAACCACCTTGCCTCAGTTGATCAGATTGTCTAGAATTCTGTTTGTTAGACCCAGATTAACTATAGCCTGGATTAAGGGGGTGAGGATGAACAGGGCTTGCCTCGACCACCTGTGTCCTCTGGCCTCAAGATGGTTATTTGTGTAGGGAGCTTTCCCTTTTCCAGTAACACTCTTCAGTACACAATAAGCTGAACTCATAAACTGAGAGAATATGTAGAAAGGTGAGGCTGGGGCTTACCATTGGGTTTAATGCCTAGGGACCTAGGGCAAGGGCTTGGGCTTCTCTGGAACAAGTATTATAAAGTTCATGGCTTTAGGTAGCATGCTTGTCTGGTTTTAACTGATTATATATAGCAAAAGTTCTGACAGGAGCTGAGTCTTATTCTGGCCCCCCCTTCAAAACACAGAGTCCTCAGGACCTGCCCATTTTTTGTCTATTGTCCCCTGCCGGTCCCCAGCCAAGCCAAGGAATTCCCGTGGTTTGTAAGCTGCTGTCCCTAGCCACTGCATTCAAATTCCAATGTATACTTCCTAGTGTAAAAATTTATATTATTGTGTTTTTTTTTTGTATATTGCTGTATCTACTTTAACTTCCAGAAATAAAAATTATATAGGAACCGTCTGATAGCGTGGCATCTCCCTTTGTGCTGACGAGGCTCCTTTTGCCCTGCTTCTGTCTGGAGGGGTCTTCCACTCAGGCCCAGCTGGGGTAGGAGCAAGAGGGCCTTGGGAGGAAGAGGCCCCAGCTCCAGGACTGAGATTCCCTTCACCTCTCATTCCTGAGGTGATGCCTGGCCCCCCATCTTATGTTAGCCACCAGCCTCCAGGTGAGATGTAACCCAGGAGCAAAGGGTCATAGTCCAGTGACACAAAGGTGTCAGAGCAGCCCTTTCCCTCTTCTCTCCTCCCTCCCAAAGCTGCTGTGTCCTGTCTGGGGTCTGATAAGCTACCTAAAGGGGGGTTGGGGTGTAGATTCCCTCCCAAGGCCTTTGGCTACAGTTGCCCATTATCGCCTTCTCTTCAGTTCACTCAGTGGGAACGACACACAGACATTTCACTAGCTGGTTGCTGTGGGGCCCCTGGGCGGTCAGTGGCGATAATTCAGGGAAAGGCCACCAACACCAGTGCTGGCTCTGCATCAGCGTCCCCCCTGCCCCCACCCACGGCCCCAGTGCCATGAAAACAGAGCCAGTGTGAGATACTGCGTTTCCCCTGCAGAGATGCAACCAGAGATAGTGTGGCTGGGGCGGGTGGTGGCGCCTGCCTTCCCTCCCACCCCCACCCCCTACCCCGCCTGCCAGCCTGCTCTGGGCCCCTGCACCTCCCTGGGACAGACTGTAAGCCCCTGCCCCCAACCCTGCTTTGAGTTCTGAATAAACTTGCCCACAGTTCCTTACTTCCCTACCCCACCCCACACCCAAGTCCAAGGCCCCAGCCTCACCTCCTAGACTGACCACAGCTGGGGACTAGGAAGCCTACAGGAGGGAAGCTGGTCCTGTCTCCTCCCTGGCCAGCCTTCCTCATGCTCAGGCCAGAGCGGCAGTTGGATGGTGCCACCTGCTGGTCTCTGGGAAGAGGCCTGGGGAGGATGGACTTTCCTACTGGCTCTCAGCTGCCTTGGCCCCAGGAGGGTTGACAATCACCTTGACACTGGCCCTCACATGCCAGCTTCAAGATTGCTCTTAGCAGCAGTGGATAAAAGAGGGGCCTAGAGCTCAGCTCTGCCCATCCTATGGGCCCCCTCCCCCAGTGAGTCCTGCCCCTTCTTTTCTCTAGACCTCAAGCCTCTGCGTTCTTGGGCATGTGTGCCCCCTTACCTAGTGCTGTAGCCCCCTGAGAAGCATTGACAGTATTCTGGGGGCGGTCAGACTCCTAGAGTAGACAGAGAGGGGAGCAGAGTTGCGGTCTCAGGCTAAAACTTACAGCATAGACCACATAGGAACGAAACAACTCCAGCTCTAGTGACTGTCATCAGCCAGGGAGACCACCATCAGTCCCCCAAACCAGGAGGAAGACCAGAAAATTTATGAAAATATTTTATTCCAAAACACTGTTTACACAAATGTGTGGTCTATGTACAAAGTACAAAAGAATCCATCTTTCCGTCCCCACTTCCCTTCAGAGAGGTTTAAACCTGGGACTCCCAATCTCTGCTGCATGTCATGTAACCTTGGAGGAGCACTTGAGACTGGAGTGAGGCCTTCTCTGGACATGAGGCCTGTTCCAGATTCCACCTCCTAGCAGAGTGGAGCGGCTCTAACCTTTCACTCTAGACTCCATGGGCCTGCAGCAACTGAGAGGTGGCAGCTTGTCCCTTGCTGCAGTTCCCCTCTCCCCAGGGGATGGCATCAGCCTTGCAAATCTCAGGCCTTCTGTTCACCCACTGTGTCCTGAAACAATTTTTTCCTCCTTTCTCATCAGCAAGGTTATAAACAGAGGCAGGGAAAGAAGCCCAGGGCAGGATGGAAAAAGGGATATTGCAGGGAACCCCACAGCCTGGACTCAAGTACAAGAGGCCAAGACACTACATGCTCAGAGCAGCTCCAATAGCTCTGGTTCAAATGAACCCATTTCACTGTGTTAGGAAATGGCTCCAGCCTAGACATGCTTTCAGAGAGCTCACAAAAAACCTGGAGTCCACATTCACTACATTATGAAATATCAAGAATGAACCTCCACCTCCCTCTGGAGGGAAAGCATCAGTTAGACCACCATATGTGCATGGGGACAGATGCACATCTGTGTACATATATGGGCACAGGCATCAGGAGGGCGAAGCTTCTAGCTCAGGAGTAAAACTGCAGCTTTGAACATTTACCTGTCTCCTTTCCTTTTCTGGAACAATTTCACTTAAATAGCTACTAGCAGATAAAGGACACGAGAGGAAGAGGTTTGCCTGCAACGAGTACCTACAATGACAGAAGCTCCATCTCTTGCATGAGACAGACAGACCCATTGGGCTCCTGGAGGTCTTGATCTGAACCAAAAGGCCACCACTGCTTCAGCCACTCAAGGGCGAGGCGGGCACACCTCATACCCAAACACATGCACACAAAGGCATCAGTACACACAGCAGTGCTGTGACCACACCTGGAACGGAGTCTCCACATTGAATATTGTTTCCAAAGAGAAGCGTGGCATTCAAATATTCACGACAGGGAGCTTCTGGCAGAGGTGAAGAGACCAGCAGGCGGGGAGAGGCGGGGGTCGATACTGTCCATGGGCCTGCGTAAGAGTTCTTCCACATGCCGGGCGACATCCATGGTCTCATCCAAGTCAAATTCTCCATCCTGATCGAGGACGGGATCCGGGCTGGTGAACAGAAGGATGTCAGGGGAACTGGCATGTCTCTTAGCCCCAAGTCCTCCAGGACAGTCCCCAGCCTGCTTCCCACTCATCCTAGTGTCTCATGAGGGCAGACACAGTTCTGGAGGGACCCCTTCCTCCAGGCTGGATAGCAGTCACTCACTGGTTCTTTGGGACACATCCCACTTCCACTTGCATTTTTTTTTTTTTTTTTTTTTTGTACCCAGGGGTGCTTGACCACTGAGCCACATCCCAGGCCTTTTTTTATATTTTATTTAGAGACGGGGTCTCACTGAGTTGCTCAGGGCCTTGATAAGATGCTGAGGCTGGCTTTGAACTCACGATCCTCGTGCTTCAGCCTCCGGAGCCACTGGGATTATAGGCCTGCACCACCGTGCCCAGCTCACTTGAATCTCTTGCTACCTCATAGCATGATCTAGGGAGTCGTTTCCCTCTCCTTGTGCTCATCTGTAAGCGGAGCGGTTGGGTTGATGAACTGCACCCACCTGCAATGCCATTCAATGACCTCATACACATCTTTCACTGAGGACTCACAAAAAGCTTTTAACCACCTTGTTCCAGTCCTCACAGCATCTTAAGGCAGGTGTTCACTCCATTTTATGGTGTAAGCAACCTGACTGCCATGCCTGTGGCGGTCCCACTGCCGCTTGCTCCTCCTAGGTCACCACAGTGCAGAAAGGATCCATTTTCTACCCTGCTCCCCTCTGATGCACAGCTATCCTGAATCAAGCCCTTCCAACAGCCTCACCTGTGTAAAAAAAACTCTACCCACCCAGGCCTAGCCTGGTGGTCGCAGACCTAGAGGAGCTCCGGATTCTCTGGTCCCACCAGCCCTCCAGGCCTCCAGCCTGAGGCCAGGGCCCAGTTCCTCCCCACAGACCCCAGAAGAACACAACTTACTTCTGTGGGTACACGTTGTAGTGAGCCTGGGGACACACAGACGGGGAGGGGGCCTGGTCCATGTACGTGGCGCTGGTTCCAGCGTCTGTATTTGCGTTCACAAATCTGCAGAGGGAAGCAGAACACGGCCTCAGTTTCCTGGGGGCTGGCTGGCAGCTGACCTGGGGAGGGGCTCTGGGGAAATCTTTAGGTCCTTTCTGAGGTGTACAAGGACAAAGTGTCCCACCAGGCCCAAGATCCCCAGCTATGGGAATGGAGCCCTGGATGTCAGTCACAGCACAATCAGGTCCAGTCCCTTCCCATGCCAGGGTTGAGCCAGGTTTCCCAGGGGATCAGGGATGTTGGCCCAGGGTTAGGGGTGACTGTGTCAGGGTGGGGAAGGGAGAGGCAGCAGGAGGCCTGCAGCTGGGCCCTGGACACTTACTCTGGGACCACTTGCTTGATCTGTGGCTTCACATACCCGTCCACCGCCTTGCCCCCTTGACAGGGAAAGAGAAGCAAGGTCTCCGGGAGATGCACGTGAGTAAAAGCCCAGCCATGCCCTCCGCCTCCTGCCCGCACCACCCTGAGGCCTTCTCAGGATGAGATTTCCCAAGGACTCACAAAAAAACACCCCTGAGGGTCACCACCCCCTAGCTTTACTCTCATCCCTGATTCCTTTTCTGGCTTTACTCTCCCTCCTCCTGCTCCCACCCCTGACAAGAGACAGAAACAAGAAGCCGCAGCCCGGGTAGGCTGAAGAGGAGAAACCTGTCCATTTTGCTTCCTACACTCAACTTGGGGGCAGGTTGTGGGGTGGGGCGTGGTCAGAAAGTCAGAGGTCCGTGAGGAGGGTGGGAATCATCCCGCTTTCTCCCCCAACCCTGCAAAGTGAGAATTCGGCTTCTTTAGCTTGCCCGAGGGAAAAAAAAAAAAAAAAAAAACTAGTACAAGTTTCACTTCCTCTCCCACAGTTGTGAGCCCTGAGGTCCTCTTCACTGTCCCATGGACCAAAATCTACAGGGGAAACGGCATCTGGTCTCTCCTGGGGAACCCTCACTGCCCAACCCTATGGCTCTGTTCAGGGGCTTGGGAAAGGCCCAGGGGGTCAGGCATCAGGACCCACCTACAACGGGAGTGTAGTACTTGGAGAAGACCTCAGCCTTGGGGCGGTCAGGGAACACGTAGATGAGATAGCTCAGGTCCCCCAGTCGGTCAGCCAGGGATCGGATAGAGAAATCTCGCGTGGTGAATGGTTTCAGGTTCCACAGGTTGCGGTCAGCTGTGAAAGGAACAACCTCATTCCCGCAAGCTACTCCCACAGGAGAAGGTCATGGTTGTGAATTTCCTGCCTCAGCTTCCCAAGTCACTGGGATTACAGGTATGAACCACTGCATCTGGCTTTTGGGTTTTTTT